TGCAATTTTCCCAAACTTTCTGAAGCTCTCTCATAATTATTAATACAGAGTATATACAAACAAGCACAATTCATATATAAATTCTGGAAGGGTACTATAAAAAAGTTTAACAGTGCTTACCTATCACTGGGACATGAAAAACTTTTTTGAGTTGAGGTAAGGAGAAATAAAGCTTTCACTTTTCAATTTACAATCTTTTTTAGGCTTATATTTTTATCAAAAGTAGTTACTTATATAACTTTCCTACATAAACTACTATAAAAATATTTTAAAGACATAACTAGCACAAGTTGACAAAGTGAAAGTTTAAAAATGATAGATCTGAACAGAAAACTTCTACTATGTGATCCCAGATTCATTACGTTTATTCCATCCTGGGATTCAAAAACATTCTTTTTAAAGTACAATTACCACTAGCAGATATTCAGAGAGCCTAATGGTCATGCAACAATAAAACCAAATACTTTGCAAGGATGACCACACCCAGAGAGCATCCTGAGTATACCAGGCATGCACATGTGCCCATGATCCAGAGCAGGCTGAGGATAGATCGCATCAAGACCCTATTGGAGGTGCTGTCTCTTTGTCTCTCTTTCCCTTTTTTCCCTCCTTCCTTTACTCTCCCTCCCTCACAGAAGAAAAATAAAAAAAATAAAAAAACTTGAAAAAAATGGACATTCAACAGGTGCTATGACATTCATTATATTTTTTCTTAAAAACGTTTAGTACCATGAATCCTTCACTTCTTTCTACCACCATGTAGCTAATTTAAATGTCTGATGTTATTATTTATACACCTACTATACTACATTTAATAACAGTAAATGGCAAAGCCCTTTCGGCATTATATAAATTGACTAGTTCAGTATCCGACAATATTAGGTATATTTACCTTCACAATTTAAAATTCGATGGAGCTGTTCTGTTAACTGTTTAGCACAGTTGGTATACAATGTTCATGTAAGTATTTCTCATTGACATTTTTTGTAGGATGATTCTTCCTTCCTTGTCTATGTGTTACTTAATATATCTTACAAACTTTTCCACTAAATTCTGGTAGGTTTTTCACAATCCCTCCTGTCAAGTGAATGTGACATACAAAAACACTCACTTTTTAAAAAACCACAGTAAGACTACTTTGTTAGACACAGGCAAGAGTATCTCAGTTATCCCAGGATGCTGGCAACTTCAGGAGATCACCACTATGTTGTCTGTCTCAACTGACTCATATCAATAACAGTGGCTTATCCAAGAATTTTGGGGGTGGGGGAAAGTACTGAGAGGTGGGTAGTATTCTGTTCCTGATTTCTTCAGCCTTATAATGGTTTCACTGGTTACAGAAAAATTATATTCAGTACAACAGCACTCCCTTACAAATATAATACTACTGCTTCTGAAGGCAAACTGAATTTCATTTTAAATGTTCTTTAAAAAGCTCTCCCCCAAAACAAACAAACCTCTTAGTTCTTACACAGGAAGAAGAGAATAAAACAATTCAAAGGAATATTTGTTTTCTTCCCACTTTTACTCTTTCACTAATTTTCAGAGAAAGGAAATTAATGAAAATGTTTAAATGCTTTTAATGTCTGATATGAAAAAGTATTTGCAGTTTCAAATTAATTGCAGAATTCTTTAGCCTTAAAGTATTGATCTAACTGCATGATTCTGGACAAGTTCTACTTTCTATAGACCTTTTTAAGGGGATCTCTGGCTCTGAAATTATAACATGTCAGACTCAAAACTTACATTAAAATCAATCATGGCCAGGATTTTGAATGTCTTCCCCTTAATAAAGCCTATTTTCAATCAATTTAAATAATAAGAAGTTGGAGAAAGCATTTCACATAGAACCTAAACAAGATTTTCTTTCTTAACAGTTTCTGCTTAATGAACAGTAGGTTACATACCCAACTGGAATAACTGTGTAATGTATTTTAAGAGATTCACAGACTAATTAATGGGGAAAAGGGGGGAATAGATGGTAATGAACCTGTGAGGTGTGTTGCTCTGCAAGGTTGATGCATATGGGATGGTTCTGTGTTTACATGTGGAGACCTCTGTGAGTATGCTGGGCATAGGTGTGTCACTGTCCAGGGATGGTTAAGAGTAGGGATTAATCACAACATTAAAGCTCCTCATTGGAGGTGCTTGTCTCTCACACACCCTCAGGGAAGAAATAAACTTAAAAAACAAATAAAAGTAGTAGTTTTCTTTGTACCTTCAGAGAATTGCTCCAGATGCTATACTCTCACAGTAAAGAGTCATTCAGAAGAAACAATGAGGCCTCTATAAAACATATTACCTTGGGACCAGTAGATGGCATAGTGTTTATGTTGCTGGACTCCCACTTAGTCAACTGCAGTTAGAGTCCTGGACCCCGGTGGCTTAAAACTCACACTGGGTGCATGTGTACGCATACCTAAAATCCCCAGAATGAAGGACAAGGTTTGTGGTGTGGACAGCCCCCTGGGGGGGAGGGGGAGGGTTCTCCCTTTCTGTCCTCTGGAGATCTCCCTCTTTAAAAAAAAAAAGAGGCCACTGTTTTAAAGTAGTCCTTTTCAACTTCAGTGTGCATACAAATCTTGGAAAAGTCCAGACCGACCCTGTTCTAGGTTAAGGAATGAGATGCAGAGTTTCTAAAACGCTCCCATAGTAATGCCAAGAGTGCTAGACCTGAGTCACAGTAAACCATGATTAGGTCAAAACATGAAAGAAACAAATAGCACCAAAGAAAAAAAAATTATTTGGTGATATTTTTGCAGGTTCTTTTGTTTTTGTCATTTACCAGCACAGTTTCCATCAGTAAGTATTAAGTGGGCTCACTCAGTGGGTTAATTTTGTATGTAGCAAAGTCTCATTAACCCACATTAAGGAAAACCCATCTGAATCATAAGTCTGAGTAGAAACGAACAGAAACCTGAACAAAATAAAGGTATCTCAAATGCTGTTTATCATTTTAAAATGGGAAGTTTCCTGAATGAATTAGGTTCTACAGATTCAAAATAAAGACAACAAATAATAAATAAGGAGACCAATAAATACTGAGTTCGTCAATCCTAATAAACCAGTCTGTTCTGAGTCATTTGTCTTCAAAAATTTTTTTTATTATTTTTTTTAACTTTACTGAGGTTTTACTAGGTAATTACCAATACTTTGAACAATGTAAATGTAAGACAAGGACAAATGACATACTCTGTGAAAACTGATGAAATAAAAGTTGAAATAAAAAAAATTAGGTGCATCATCAGGTACACAGCTCTAGATCCTTTTTAAGCAATCTATCCTCATGTATTTTAAATGCAGGTTAATTCATTTGACAATTTATTGATCACCTACTGCATGTCGGACACTTTGCTAAAAATCAGGGATAAAGTTTGGATTGAAGAGTCACTAGAACTTTCAGATGATGGATTGACCACTTAATGGCAAGGATTTTTTTTTTTTTAATCTCCAGGCCTAAGTTTCCTCAGACCAGTGTGATAATAAGACTATGTAATGTATCACTTTTTGGCTTTTTGGCTAAGATCAAGTGAAGATTGTACAATACAAACATAGTGCCTAACACTGTGCCTTACATATAACTTAAAAATTAATAAATGCTATTTGAAATAGAAGTTTGAGTAAGACATAGATCTTGTCCTCAATAAGACAGCTGTCTACTGCACAGCTCTGTGTTGAATGACTATGAACCAACCTGAAAGTTGAGTAAAGAAAAACATGAATGAACTGATAAATCCACAACAAAAACAAAAAACTAACAACCCCCACAATATATAATGAACTCCAGAAATGAAAAGAAATGTGTTTTGGGTTAGTTTATGAGCTTATGTAATATGCAAAGTAATGTCCTCTTCCACTAAACAAAATAATAGAGTACACTATAAATAAATAAAACAAATGTTCCAGCTATGTGGTTTTATACACACTGGGCTGAAGATGGGGTATACAACTTAGGACAATTTCAGCGAAGCAGTAGTTCCTTGACATGATAGATTGTATGCCATTAAGCACAATTCTTTCTCTACCACCTTCAGCAAGGGCACCCAGTAATAATCCCTTTTTCTTAAAAGTATTTATCGGTTCTCTCATAACAACTAGCCAATCATGCAGCCACTTCTGAAAACCTAACTGGCAACAGTGACCCACAAACAGAAGCAGTAATGTTAAAATTAAGAGCTTTGGTGTCTATGAGGTCAAGTGTCCCAAGTTCGGTTCCATCACTTCCGGTCAGTTATGATATGCTGGGCGTTTCTTAACCTTTCCAAGCTTCAGTTTCTTTATACGAAAAATGTCGATACCGGTACCTACTTCCTACGTTTCTAAAAACGTAGTATGTAAACTAAAGCAAACCACACTCAGACAAGTTTCTGAAAGCAAATGCCATCTGTTTGCTATTACCTCTGATGAGAAAAGTAAACTTCTTTAGTTTTGAACCTTAGAACAATGTAAAAGATTAGGGTCTTACAAAACTGTAAACTTAACGTTAGTTCGATGTTCAATAACCAAAAATACTGGAGGATAGGCGTAAGGTAGAAATGTGTATTCAACACCCACCACCTGATCTTCCCCATCCTACTTAACAGAGGTGGTATTTGACGTGTTAGAAGTAACCAGCATTGAAATAACTAAGAACAACTTAATCCTATGATGGTTTAAGGGGGGAAGAAGGATGGTTAAATCCAGGAAAAGGTGTATGAAGGGAGGCTATGTAATCACGAAGGAGTTGGTGGGTAACCCCGCTGAAGAGTTAAGGGCCAACCATTCTAGCCTGGAGGCTAGAGGCCAGGGTAACTTGGCTCCTCCCCGTGGGGAAGCAAAAGCCATTAGGCCTACCGGGTGAGTCTCACCACGATACTTCGAACCCAATGCCAGTGTCAGCAACTCCAGTGCCCGCCGCAGGGGTCCAAAAACTCCCGCAGGCGCCCCAGATCCGAGGGCCAGCGCCATCTCCACCCAGAGGCCTGAGTCACCGCCCAGACGTCAGGGGCCCTGCCGGTTACCTTCGGCAGGAAACTCCTCGAACTCGTCGTC